TTACAAGTTTCTACATCATGTGGGTGCATTACCTATTGGAACGTAGCGATTTTTAGTTAGTTTATATCTTTCTTCGAAGAAGATGAATTAATAATAAATATGGTTTTCTGAGCCAATAATGATTAGCTGGGGGCATACATCAGCTCCTAATAATATGTCCACAGGTATGCTTCCGAAAGGATTCAATTCTGCCAAATCAGATTTGGCAATTTTTCGGAATTGACCGAAACCATAGACAAACTAGTGTCACCTAAAAAACTGCTCAGGTCTCACCAGTCACCGCAACTGTTCTCCCAGCTTGTTTCGGCGTCAATCCGATATGATTCAGTGTAAATGCACAAAATGAATAAAACACAAAGAATTAGTTTAATAAAAGGGAGATAAATTAGATAATTTACCTTAAGAATGCATCTACACAAGAAGTGCTCTTTAAGGCTTCTAAATGACGACTGTTAATAACTACATATATTTAAGGAGGCTAACAAAGTTTAAATACAGTTAGCGGTTTACTCGTTGAATTATTAACAGTTTTCCATCAACAATGTAAACAATGTAGTAAACCATTAGGATTTACACTTAGAGGAAAAATACAGAAAATAATCGATTTGTACTTAAACACAGCTTATTGTAGTGCATAACCAATAAACACTAGTACAACCCCTCCCAGTATAACACCTCCAATCCGTGTACGCACTCCACATTATGTACACTATAGTCCTCGCCCACATGTGTGGACGTGCTCTGTATGTCAATATGTTATACGGAGAAACATAACATTCATAAAGTGCAATGGTTGTGGAAATTGGTGCCATTTGAGACGATGCATAAATTTACGTTCACACAGAAACTGGCGTTCAAGTTTTCTAGCTGTCTTTTGTATTAATAATCCCATCCCAACAGTCCGTACAAATAACACCTTCCCGCAGTACTGTGCAAACGCATTTGTCTATGCTACAACAACAATTAACACAGACAACATCAACACTTCAGTTGTCATATGCCCTATTACTTCCATCTCTAAGGCAACCTCTAAGATTCCCATCACTCATTCCAAGTCATGCAGTTAAACTGCAATGAACTTAGGAACTTACAAAATAAATGCATGATATTAACATTCTCGCTAACAGTCCCTTCCATCTCTCCCATATCCCACCCATTTATGGAAGGTAACATAATTGGGGCCAGTTATCAGTTAAGCATATCTCATCTCTTGCAAGTTAATAACAAAATAATTCCTGCCGATTTCAATGCTCATTATGAGATCTATATCCAATTACCAAACGATTCCCGCGGAATTAGTATTGCTGACCTGATAGATGATTCAGAATTCAGAATAAATGAGGAATTCTCTAGAAGAATTACTGCAAGATGCAAAAGTCCCCAGACATCTCCATTGTCTGCTCGTCGCTACTTGTCCAAGCCACAACCAAAAACCACAAACAAATAATAAAAATATCGCCGCTGTCGCCTTTAACAACATTCAATATACAGATGCCAAGAAATGTGCAACTCAGTTCTGCCGGGACAAAAGGGCTATAATCTGTAGAACCAATCTCAAACGAGACTCTGTGCCCTATTCCTTCACTCCTGCTGAAGTTGAAGATATTATCTCCTATTCCAAATCATCAATTGCACATGGTCCTGATGTCATTTCAATGCTAAAGTCAATAAAATTTCTCACCCACTTTCTTGAACTCTTGATTCACCAATTGGTGATTTCTGATATTTGAAAAGTTGCGCGAGTTATTCCCAATCTAAAACCTGATAAACCCGCTATAAACGAAGAATCATACCGCCCGATTTCTTTTTTATCACCATTAAAAAAGGTTTTATAATCGCTACTATTACTATCTCTGAAAAAGCATTTCTCGCTAGCCAACCGCCAACATGGTTTCAGGGAATCTCATACCACGACAGCATTCAACTCAAATCGCTAACGGCTTCAACAGCGTCGCTATTCATTTCTTGCTCCAAGGAAGTAAGTATGGAACTCAACATCTCAGTCGAAGGCAGACGTATCCCTACCGTTCAGAACACTAAAATTTTAGGGTAGTCTTCGACAGCCTCCTTCACAACCATTATTACGAGTATGGAATACTTGTCGTTAAGTCATGGTACCTGTCTCAGTAGGTCTTGCAGCTGTTGTTCTCGACAAAGTCGGTCGAGGGTTATTAGGTGTAGGATTAGCGGGTCGTAGAATCACACTAGAATTGTCATCTTATTAAAGTAGGAAGTGCAATGCTTGTTTTGACTAGTATGAAATACTTGTCGTTCAACTATAGTGCCTGACTTAATCGCTCTTTCTACTAATGTAGCTGACGTTTTAGGTCGTCGGTCATTAGTGGATTGCTAGAGTTGGGCAAAACTGCAGAGTCCCGATATAGTGAAGTATGGTGCCGCTTATTATAAATAGAACAACGATGTTCGTTCGTACAATCTTGAATATCATGTGAACAATGTGCCTTTTCCCTTCGTTCATTGCCTTTCTTGTCAGTATCGGAACTTATAAGATCGCGTATACAATCTAATGTTTCGGCCAAACACATGTCCAAAACTTTTCATAAATATAAAGCTGTTTTGGCCTTAACACTTCGTTTCCTTAGTACCACTGTCTGAGAAGGCAGGTTTTTAATGCAAATAAAAACGATAATTGGATTCCAATTTTGAGTGGGAATCTCATATATCAATATAGCGGTCAGAAAACCATTGATTCCACTTTTTTAGTGAGCAACTAGTTTCCTCTGTTATCGTCTCTAAACCAAACAATCACTTTAATTGATTATTAACTAGCATTACATGATTACGCTTTTCCACGATATATCGAACAATGCATTAGTCAACGGACATTTGGATACAATTTCTTTCGCTTCGTTATCTTTCCTTTACACCAAATAATATAAGCGCTCGATATCATTAAGCCGACTGTTATCGTATGTAAAACATGAAAATATCCCATAATGTAGGCCATGAGCGATAATCGCCATTGAAGGTTAAATTATGACTAATATTAACAAAATTTGACTGAAGGTAAACTTTAGGTTTTGACTTTTCTTCCAATTCATTAACATTAATGTTTAACGAGTTGAAACATCGCGCGTAAACATTTAGAATACTCTGGAATTTTCTGGAATTTACTGCTCATATGACAATACAATTCTGCCTAAGTCTAATAAATTATGTAGGTCGTGTCATAGCTTTTAATAGTTTTGATCATATTTTTTTTATTTTTAAAATGTTTTTGAGTGAGGGTAAACTTTAGGTCTTGACTTTTCTTCCAATTTATTAACATTAATGTTTATCGACTTGGAACATCGCGCGTAAACATTTAGGGTACTCTGAAATTTTCTGGTATTTACTGCTCATATATAATACAATTTTGCCTAAATCTAATAAATTATGTAGGTAGGTGGTCGCGTCATAATTCTTAATAGTTTTGATAATAATATTTTTGTTTATTTATTTTTAAAATGTTGTTCAAAATTAAAAAAGAAATAACATGTGACTTAATCAAAATTGTGACAGCCATAAAAGTTTTGAGTTTTCTTTTGAATGGAAATTTTTTTCTGAATTGTCCAAACAAAATACTTTTACGACTAGAAAAGGATAGACAATAATTGTCAATAAAGAATTCAAAAGATGAACATAATATCAAACCATCAAACCGAATATCAAAAAATTTTTTCAAGAGAAACTTTTAAGTCCAATGTAAATATATTTTCCTATTCAATGGCGTAAATCAAAATAACGCCATATAGATGGTGTATATATACATATTTGTAACAACTTTAGAATCTAATCTACTCTAACTAAATATTCTTTGTTAACAAATTATCCGTTTTGCATTAATTAATTAATATCTGCAGCAGATATTCTTAGGTATTCGATAGGTAGAATTTGAATGCAATGTAAATAACAGAACATATTGATATTTCATCTCGCCTCGTTTGACTTCTGCACTCTGACGACTATATCACTCTGGTTTATAATTGCCCACGAAAGTTAAGTTTACACGCACTGTTAATGTCACATATTAATCACTATACTGAGATCTACTCTGTGTCAGTCCACTAATCCTAGATATAATATTTCGTGTGGACAAGAGAATTGGTAGGTTTGCCTATTGTATTAAATACTATGAACTCATATCTAATGCTATTAACAACTTTTTATCCTGTTCTTTCAAACAGTACATAAAACTCCGTAATTTAATATACTTTTATAAAATCATTAAACATGGTACACCATCATATCTTCATAAAAGATTTATTTTTTTTCAGATCCACCAGAAACGTGTTCTGTCTATAACGTGTTCTGTTATCGCTCAAGAGCTGCAAGATACTGGAATATCTTGCCGAGTGATCTAAGAGTGTTTTCTTTTTTTGCAGGTTATTTCGAAAATGCCTTCTTGATCATTTAAGTTATCAATAAATTTATAATGTCTACCCTAATAGTAATTGTTACAGAATGAGCGTAAGCACTGATAGGGAGTCTTAAACAAATTTTATACATCATATCGAAAAATTAAGAGTGTAAATTTCAATTTTCTATTTCAATAAATTTAAGCAAACTTTATTATTTTTTTATACATTTCATTATACCAATTTTGAATTATATAAAATATGATAGCAGATACATGTAAAATACTAAATATTACACACCCAGTACAAAAGTGACAAAACTCAAAATTTTTTCAGAAAAGGGAACAGTTTTTTTTTACAAATTCTGAAACATAAAGAAAGACATAACGTTTTTCTTGAACAGTTAACAACAACAAAATACACTTATATTTTTTTTAGAGAAAAACAAGTATCTTGTGCATAGTTTAAGGCTTAAAGAACGTAAAAAGGCAAAAATAAAATTTTGAGTTGAGTCACTTTAGTACTGGGTGTGCGATATGTAATACGTTATTGGCCGCAAAGGCTTTTAGTATTACTAATTAATAAATAAAATAATGTCGTTATACAAATTCTTCAAAAATATTTACAATAAATCTTTTTCAGATATCTTAAACGTTTTAAGAAAATAAATCCAAAGGTCCTTAAGTCTTGGTGTCGTCAAATTTTAAAGGGGTTACACTTTTTACATACCCGTCAGTTGCCCATAATTCATCGTGATCTAAAATGTGATAATATCTTTATAACCGGTACTACTGGAAGTGTCAAAATTGGAGATTTGGGTCTGGCTACCCTAAAAAATCGTTCACACGCTAAATCGGTTATTGGTACACCGGAATTTATGGCGCCAGAAATGTATGAAGAACATTATGATGAGTCTGTTGATGTCTATGCTTTTGGTATGTGCATGTTGGAAATGGCTGTTTCGGAATATCCATATAGTGAGTGTAAAGGACCAGCCCAGATATACAAAAAGGTGATTTCAGGCATTAAGCCTGCCGCTCTAAGTAAAGTAGAGGATCCCAAAGTTAGAGAAATAATAGAAAAATGTATTGAATTAAAAAAAGAAGATCGTCCAAGCTGTAAGGATTTACTAAACTCCGAATTCTTCGAAGAAGATATTGGTATTCGAGTGGAGCCAACAGCGACAGAAGCTTTTCTAAATAACCCCGATAATAATGTTATTGAGTTTCGCCTAAGATTTCTGGATCCGAAAAAACGTTCTTCAAAACACAAAGAAAACGAAGCCATACAGTTTGAATTTGATATTAAAAAAGACGATTGTGAACAATTATGTCATGATATGAAGCAGGAAAATATAATATCTGAAGAAGATGCCAGAGCTGTAGTAAGACTGTTGAAAGTACAAGTATACTCTCTTTCAAAAGAACGGATTCAGCGTCAGACGCAATTGCAATTACAAAATGAAAAATCTCGTTTGGAAAAATTAGCTCTACAAAATCAACGAGAAATGCTTCCTCCAAATGTCGAAGAGGAGGAAGAAGAAGATGAAGTTGACTCTGAAGACGACGACGATGCCAAGAAAATCAACCAACAACAAATCCAATCAATACAACAACCTCAGCAACAACTTACTTTACAAAGCGATGATGTTATGCAACGTAATGTTGAAAATAATAGTGAACCTCAACAAAACCAAAGTTTTGCAGGTTATCAGCAACAATCAATGACATCTCCATGTAATTATACGACTGATGTGCAATCGCCACAACAAGCTTTGTCACCAACAACTGCTCCCTCCCAAACTCAATATTACAGTTCGCAAACTTCTCAACAGACATTGCCTAACGTCCCTAATATGCAACAAGTGAACTACGTAACACAACAACCAAACCCACAGCAAGCGACTGTAATTCTAGCACAGGTGGGTATTGATATTGTGGACTTACCAGACATATCTCTTATACATGTTGTAATAAATATATATATTTAAAAAAATTTTTAAATTCTGAATGAAACATAATTTTGCATAAATATTCAAAATGAAATTTAATTTTAAATAAAATTCTGGATAATTAAAAAAAAAATCCTTAAAATTACAATTTTCTTTTACACTATTATTACCTAGTATGCTATCCTTATCTCAATGAAGTAAAATAAATATAACTCACACTGTAGTCTATAGGCTGTAAAGTTATTGTAAATTCATAGTTAGGGAATAACATATCGTCATCTGAAATTTTACATTTATGTGTAAAACATGATAAGAGATCAATTTCGGAAGAAAAAGTATTAATTTTCGGAGTATTTTTCAAGTTACGTTTGTTACGTTATTTTGCATTTATATTTTCTGTAACAAAATGACGTATCATCAATGAAATTCTTTAGTATAAAGTGAAAAAATTCCCTTAAGGGATGAAATGGAAGGCTAAACTTTTCTACAAATAATCTCTATTAATAAGGTTTGTTTGGTATAGAAAATAAGCAATATCGGTGTACGTTTTCAACTTGCTCCCTCATAGGTGGGCCTCAGGAATATGGTTTTAACAGTCATAATTATGTTGATTAGACAGCAATTGTTATGAAATTTAGTTAATTTTTTGTACCGAGAAATTATATTTTAAAGTATGACTGACATCGGGTCATATTATATCCTACCCCCAATACAGGGTACCCTTCAGAAAATGGCTTTAACCTTCACGCGTTGTTTTGCATTTCAGGGGACGATATGTATGTATATCCTATATTCTTATAATAAATAAAAAGTATCATTAAAGAGGACTTTATCATTTGTCGATTTACCATTAAGTTTATGTTCAGCTCCAACAAGATTCCCAAGATTTTATATAAAAATAAGACAAAGAATATTTCAAATTTATTAGAGATGAAGATCTCTTTTTATTTAAACCAAATATTACCTCGTAGAACCTAAGTCCCGAAGGTGGATTTTTACGAAGTCACTCGACTTTCCCCACAGAACCGAAGTCCCGCAGGTGGATTTTTAAGAAGTCTCTCGACTTTCTCCACAGAACCGAAGTTCCGCAGGTGGATTTTTAAGAAGTCTCTCGACTTTTCCCACAAAACCGAAGTCCTGTAGATGGATTATTATTTAATATAAGTAATGTAAGATATATAAAGATAATAAATAAGAAGGTAAAAACATAAATAAGGTAGTAAGAACATAAATATATTTCTGTGAACGTTTTAAAGTGATAATAAATTAAAGGTTAAAAAGTGTTAGACCACGTAGAATACGTTAAATTGTCGATATATGTTTCGAAGTCCCCAGGATTAGCTGGACCTGTCAGTATCCAACCAAATATAGTTTTCTGTGCCAATAATGACCCTAATACGTTGTGTTGTATTTTCGGTAAAATAATGCGCGGATATAAATCTGCTCCTATAAGAATATCTATAGGCCTACTAGTAAAATGATTAGAATCAGCCAAACAAAGATTTGCCAATATTTTTTCAATATCGATATTTACAGAAGTCAAAGGCAAATTTTCTGTTATTTCTGGTAAAATAAATGTGTTAGTTGGTAGTTTTATTGAAGAATCTAAATCTGAATTAATTTCCAAAGGACAAAATTTTGTAACTACAAAAACTACATTATTAACGCCAGAAACGTTAAAATTCGCAGAATGAGTGGGAAGTTTTAATCTTTTTCGTAAACGTTCAGAAATGAAAGAACATTCTGAACACGAATCTATTAAAGCACGGACCTGATACTTATAGCTGTCATGAATTATGTTTACCATTGCAGTCCCTAACAAAACGGATTGATTATGTCTAGTATGAAATACTTGTGGATTAGACGTAACATTATTGGACGTATGCGACTGCCGAATGTGGGAGCTAGTGGGTCGTAAAACCTCACTGAAATTCTGTTCAGTAGAAAGAGTAGGTCTTTCAACTATGGAATTATCTGTATGCTGCAGATGAAGCATAGAATGATGTCGATTATTGCAAATAAAACAGTTAAGTTGTACGATCAATAAAACTTCTGACTTTATGTGTCCTCGAAAGGCAATTAATACAGTACACAGTGGTATAGGAAAAAAAAAAGAGGGAAATAATTCGGTAACTTCTAAACGGTTAATCCGATTTTAATGAAATTTGGTATGCACAAAGAGGAGGTGTTGTCGAGTTTAGGTTTTGAATTTGGACCTTATAGGCCAACCAGGGGCCCGGCGGGGGGTCCTCAAATTAGGACACCTCGGCTATGTTAAATTTTTAAAACGATCCTATTTCTTCATTTGAGTTCCGATTTAAAAAAAATTTCGTATATAGAATCTCCTCATCGAGCACTATAAAAAATGTCGTCGTAGCAGTAAATTATCTCTTATAGTTTAGGAGATATTCGCATTTGAATATTAAAATTTTTACCGTCCTTACTTTAGTTTTTTTGATAATAGCAGGTCCAAATATTTCCGATTTTCGCCATTTTTTTTTACAAGTTTATATATCAAGCAGTGAAAGAATTATGTAAAAATCATGACTGAGTCCAAAGTTATAGGCATTTTAATTTAAAAAATTAAAAAAAGGCGATTTTTTGTCATTTTTTTGGGAAAAAAGTATCTTTTTCTTTTTAAGTTATCTAAAAAGTTTCTAAGAAGATATATATAGAATTTATACTTTTTGGAAAGCTGACTTTACATAAAGTACGATAAATGAAACAAAACCTAAAAATTTTTGATACCGAGGGGACCAGGTCCATCCAAAAAAAACCCTATTTTTTATGGAAAATTAAATTTTGAGCAAAAATTCTCAAATCGCATAGTCGATATCAAATTATAGTGACCTGTTTTATATGACCCAATAAGTTCTTAATCATTTTGTAACGGGTTTCGATAACCCCGCCCCTGGTATGGATATAATAGGCAAAAAACCAAAAAATCCCATTTTTGGGATTTTTTAAAACTTTTTTGGGAATTCCGGGATTTCTAATAAGAAAATTCGAAATTTTTATTTAATTTTGGATTTTGAGTAAAAAAATCTACCTAACTGTAAAATTTCATCAAAAAATATTCATAAATAAAATTTTTATTGCAATTTGAAAAATTTGTATCTTCGCAAAAACTGAATAAAAAACATTTTTTAATTTTTTTTAAAAAAAGTATTCCGCGAATTTTTTAATTTTCAAAAATTATATACAGTTTTGAAAAATAGACAAAATTACCTTTCCATTGATATATAACATGCCTACCTAATGTTTTTTAAGTGACAAATTAATTAGGGAAAACTCAACATCTTTTAGAAAATTTACCTAGCACTATTATTTTCATCCATATATGTAACAAATTTAAGAGTTAACCTTATGGATGAAAATAATAGTGCTAGGCAAATTTTCTAAAAGATGTTGAGTTTTCCCTAATTAATTTGTCACTTAAAAAACATTAGGTAGGCATGTTATATATCAATGGAAAGGTAATTTTGTCTATTTTTCAAAACTGTATATAATTTTTGAAAATTAAAAAATTCGCGGAATACTTTTTTTAAAAAAAATTAAAAAATGTTTTTTATTCAGTTTTTGCGAAGATACAAATTTTTCTAATTGCAATAAAAATTTTATTTATGAATATTTTTTGATGAAATTTTACAGTTAGGTAGATTTTTTTACTTAAAATCCAAAATTAAATCAAAATTTCGAATTTTCTTATTAGAAATCCCGGAATTCCCAAAAAAGTTTTAAAAAATCCCAAAAATGGGATTTTTTAGTTTTTTGCCTATTATATCCATACCAGGGGCGGGGTTATCGAAACCCGTTACAAAATGATTAAGAACATATTGGGTCATATAAAACAGGTCACTATAATTTGATATCGACTATGCGATTTGAGAATTTTTGCTCAAAATTTAATTTTCCATAAAAAATAGGGTTTTTTTGGATGGACCTGGTCCCCTCGGTATCAAAAATTTTTAGGTTTTGTTTCATTTATCGTACTTTATGTAAAGTCAGCTTTCCAAAAAGTATAAATTCTATATATATCTTCTTAGAAACTTTTTAGATAACTTGAAAAGAAAAAGATACTTTTTTCCCAAAAAAATGACAAAAAATCGCCTTTTTTTAATTTTTTAAATTAAAATGCCTATAACTTTGGACTCAGTCATGATTTTTACATAATTCTTTCACTGCTTGATATATAAACTTGTTGTTAAGCGAATAAAAAAAAATGGCGAAAATCGGGAATATTTGGACCTGCTATTATCAAAAAAAACTAAAGTAAGGACGGTAAAAATTTTAAAATTTTAATATTCAAATGCGAATATCTCCTAAACTATAAGAGATAATTTACTGCTATGACAACATTTTTTATAGTGCTCGATGAGGAGATTCTATATACGAAATTTTTTTTAAATCGGAACTCAAATGAAGAAATAGGATCGTTTTAAAAATTTAACATAGCCGAGGTGTCCTAATTTGATGACCCCCCGCCGGGCCCCTGGTTGGCCTATAAGGTCCAAATTCAAAACCTAAACTCGACAACACCTCCTCTTTGTGCACACCAAATTTCATTAAAATCGGATTAACCGTTTAGAAGTTACCGAATTATTTCCCTCTTTTTTTTTTCCTATACCACTGTGCAGTAGTTATAATCATTCACAGTAGAAATTCTTTCAGTTACTAAAAGATTTTTAAATCGACGACAATTTCGCAAATAGTGAGACTGATTAGGGCATAAGATACATGGAAGTTTAGTAGAAGGAGAACTATTAGAAAGAACAGAAGAGACGTCAGTCGAGTTCGTACCTTTAAGATCTTGAAGACATTGCAATGTCTGAATTCTTTCTGACAGAAAGTCATCGAAATCTTTCCATGTGGACAAAACAGTTTTGTTCTTAACACCCTGTTCCCACAAAATAACTGTAGATCAGGAAGACGTTGAATACACATAAAAATGATAATTGGGTCCCAATTAT